GTATTGTAAAACCTACATCAGTGGCATTCTCTCTAGAGAAGACCTTCCATTGTTCTGAGAGTGCCTAACAGAATTAGCTTGCCATTAGATTCATGTTTTAAAACAAAATTGAAGTAATCCTTTCTCTTGGAGAAGGCATTAAGACAAAGAAAGCACCTTCAATTTCTACTTTTTAAATATTAGATGAGGGGGAATCATTGTGCTAACACAGTCAACCATGCTCTGGTTATACTGCTGTTCTCTTGGCAGCTACCTGATGTCCGTGTCCTAACCACAGAGTTATCAGTTACTTAATCACCATTTGTGATGCATAAGGAAAAAAATTCCACTTCAATCCAATCCTGACTTTTACAGAGCAATATTAAAATAATACCCTTAATCATTGGCACTAGATGATCTCAAGGTCCTTTGCAACCCTAACTATACTATGATTTGATGAATCACATCCAACACACTTGGTCAGTTGCAGGATCAGGCCAGAGTAATGGGAAAGGTAATTATGAGAACTAAGGTTTCTATAATAAAAAACTATGGCTTACAGACATTTACTTTACATTATAATGGAGTTGCAACTGACAATTAAGTACATTTCAAAGCAGAGAGATATTCACTGGTTTACAATCCTGAAACAAGCTTAAAATAAAACAAAACCAAGAACGAACAAGCAAGTACACAAGAAACATTTGTTTCAGTGGAGGTGCTTCTGTTGATCAACATTTCCATGGAGTTACTTCTTCAGTGAGAAAATTCAAAACCATTTATTGATGAACTGCTGACAGAAACTTAATATTTTGTGTGTGAGAATGATAAAGATTGTAAAAGTGAGCAATCTCTATTCATGTATTCCTTCGGAAAGCTGTATGACATCATCAATAGGAATCTGGATTGTTTATTTACCTCATATTCTAAAACTGAACATTAACTGCTGTATGATGACTATAAATAAAATGACATTAAGAAAGCAAGCAAAAGAATTCATAAAGTATGAACTAACCTGAAATCTAAGCAGCAAAATAAGTCTACCAAGCCATAGTTAAATTGACAGAAGTCATATAAAGACAGCCACCACCAAGCAGACTAATACATTTTATGTTTCAATTTATACATAAAAGATCCAAAATAAAGATCATGTCAAAACTACTGTCTTCTAGTCTGTAATCATCTATACCCTCCAAGAATTTAGAGAATTACAACAACATGCCTTTGACTTTCTGTATACCATATTAGTGTAACAAACCTTAGCTGTCAGGACAATCCCTATGCTTTTAGCATCACGTTGCCAAGGTCTTGCTACCAGAAGTCCTACTGAATATTCAAAACAGAATCTAGGTACACAAGTTAATATACAACAGCTTCATCTTAAGTCAACTCAGACAATCTGAGAAGTAGCCATTTACATTATTTGTTCATTAATTTCATATTTCATTATGGTGTGGGTTTTGTTTTTGTTTTTTTTTTTTGTTAATTCTGCTTGTAATAGATCTGGGCTTATGGGGGGGGGGGGGAAGTCTCACCCATAAGCAATTACCTGTCTTCATTGATTTTCTGCATCAGTGATCACCATTTCAGACAAATTAAAGCGTCCCTACATTATTTTCATTAGTACACAGGTTGCAAGCATTCAAAGCATCTGAAGAAACCATGTTGAGAAGATTTGCCTGGCGTTGGCAGAGAACTGAAAGCAGATCATTTGCTACCACATACAGCACTATCCAGTGTCTTCTCAGGAGCAGAGCACATTAAGGCATTAGATGCCATTTGCATTATCACACAGCAGGGGGCTACAGCAGCTACAGTTCCAGGATAATCTTAACCCATATCTCTATACTGTCAATCCAACAAAACTGTTTTTAATATTAGAGTTTCCCACAGGATAACTCTTTATGGTAAAGAGCTTACTTTTCAGGTTGCACGAAAACAGCTCAGGTGCTGTACTCCAGTTATTCTAAAGATATGCTGTCCCCCAACTACTAAATTTTGTTTAAGGAAAGTTAAACTCAAGCAGAAAGAATCAAAATGAAACAAAAAAAGTAAGGCTGACTGTAAACATATCTAACAGTTTAACCCCTCGGGACACCATTTAAGTACTCCCAAATCATTACAGTGCACAAGCTAAGGCAACAGCAGCCAGAGATCCTACTATTTTCACAGCAAACGCTGGAGAGGGCAGAGCAGACTAATATCATACCCGAACTCAGCTGACAAACTGCTTCTCAGCTCAACATGTTATTACTCCCTCTTCCACCTCCATCGCTTCCTTTTCACAGCAAGCAGTTGACACTGGGTTCTTTTACTCCTTGCTTGCCCCGTTTCCGAAAGGGCTGCTTGCTGTTAATGCTATTCCATGCACAAGCTGAGAAGCATTATTCTGTGCCCTCTTGCCTCAGCTGATGCTTCATCAATACTCAGGACAGATTCCTTAAGCAAGCCTCTCCACAGATCATGCCAGAAAGGAACACTTCCATCCAGGCCACATGTCAGCTTGACTTTTTGTCACCTTGGCTTTAAACTTAATTAGCTTCAGTTTCACTAACAGGAACCATCCATAGTTACAATCCAGAAATGCTTCGAATCCTCAGAACAAAGATCTTATTCACACAGAGCTGACAAAAAACCTGCATGTCCTATGGCCCACAAACAGAAAATCAGAGAAACCTTAACAAATGCATCGAGCCACTTCACCACGCCATTTGGGGAAGCAAAGCAAACCAACAGGGAAAAAAAAAAATCCCACTTCTAAATGCAGGTATAAAGCTGCCAACAAAAAATGTGCCTGATATGGTAACTGTGTCTACTAGTTGTGCCAAAATAAATGGCACAAACTGCAGAAACAACATTTGTGCTGTAGGACTATAAGGGGGACCAAAAAAATGTGACATTCTGTTAGCTGTGGTGGCTATTCAGGGAAGTCTTCTCCTAGCAAACATTTACTCATCATGTTCCCCAATATCCTTTACCTTAAGAGAACAGGATGGTAGAACTTACTTCCTCACACTGCTGTCTGAAGGCTACAGGTTCTTTGTATCTCCTCCCCCCTTTTTTCCCCCCAGTAGTGCTCAGCAAAAGGGGCCTTGTGAAGCAGCACTGCTGAAGCGCAGTATACAGGAGCCTAAGGGTTTCCGACTGAAATTCTAATCAGGAGCTGAAAAATAATTCTGTGGGAAACTGAAAAGGGAGAGATGCTTTACAGACACAGAGGGCAAGCTGGGTAACAGGTTAAGCATCGCCTTTCCCCATCTGCCAGGACAGGCCCAATCTGGTTATTTTCACATAGCCACAGTCGGATTTGTATTACATCCCTTTCCTCGCAACATGTTTTTTACCTGATGCAGTTCACGGAGTTACGTTTTGCCTGGCACACTCCCTGAACTGCTGTGAAAGGCATCACTGTTTTTAATCACTGGTTTACTCTCCCAACTGCGATGTGCTGAATGCAGCTGATTGCATCTTAGGGAAGATCAAATCCTCCTCCTCCAGCAACAGCCCCGATTTTATTGGTGACAGAAAGTCAGTCCAGACGCTTCCCACCACCACCCCCCTTCTTCCTTCGCAGGGCAATGAATCGACAATTCACAGGGAATGCAAAAGGCAGAGAGGAGCCAACCCCCAGGTGCAGCCCGCCGCACATGCCCCAATAAATAATCTTGTATAGCACCAACACAGCAGCTCCTTGTGCAGTGACGTACAGGACAACTCAAACATCGTCAAAGAATACAAATAGTCTTGGGCGATGGAACTGCCCGCTGCTGCCGTTGCCGAAAGCGCTCGCCCCCCTTCACCCCTCCTCGACCGGTAACTTCCTCGGGACGCCGGAGGCTCGTCGTGTGTGTCGGGCCCCACGGCGGCTGCCTTTGCTCCCGCTAAGGGCTGGCAGCCGCTGCTCCCTCCGGAGACCGCCCGACACATGACGGAGCCGAGGGAAACGCGAGATATATTAAACTTGACGCGGATGGCACGGCCGAGGCGAGAGGGGGGAGAAATAGAAGAGAAAAGCATTAATCTTACATGGGCACTTAGTTTAATCGTCTCTTCGCTTCTCCCTCCATAAGTCGCACGCCGAGCGAGGGAATCAGAGACGCGCCACCCGCCGATCCCCCCGACACCCCCATAGCCACCGCGAAGCCCGGCCGCCGCTATCCCGCCGCCGCAGGGGCGGCAAACTCCGGGCGGCAGCGCGGCGCAGCAGGCTCGGCCGTCGGTTCGGCTCCCCCCCCAGCGGGAGAGCTCCGAGGGAACCCCCGCAGGCAGCCGCGGCGGTCCAGCGGCACCCCAGCAGCGTGCGGCAGGTTTTCCTCCGCTGTGGCCGCGGCCACGTTTGACTTGTACGGATAACGTTAATTAAGGGAGAGCGGCAGCCCGGCGGTGGGGAGGAGGGAGGGGGAAATACATTCAGTCTGGAAACTAGCCGCAGGATGAGCCGCCCGGAGCAGGATGCTGAAGGGATCCGCTCATCCGATTACCCTACGTACACATTCCATACCGCACACAGAGGCGCATTCCCGGCGGCGGCGCAAGCGAAACACGGGCCCCCCAACCCCCCCTCCGCCGCCGGGGAGGCACGGCTGGAGCCCGCACGTTTTCCTGGGATGCTGTTGCAGCGCACCGGGTGCTGCTGCTTCTGCGGCCGCACTCGCACTTTCGGAGGCACGCTTGCGGCGGGCGAGCAGGGAGGTGAAAGGGGTGGCTGCAGGGGATGGCGAGCGACCGGTGACAGGCGGGGAGGACGGAGGGGGCAGGAAGAAGCCGGCCAAGGAAGGGCAGTAAGGGTTAACGGCCGTGCGGCGCGTTGGCGCTGGATAGCGCTACCCGGGAGGGAGACTGGGGGCGCCCGGGGAGAGGAGGGCGGCTGGGAGGAAGCGGGTCAGGAGCGGGGCGGCGGGGAGGAGGATGGGCGGGGGGGCTGGGATGCCCCGGGCCGCGGCGATACCCCCCGGGGTCCCTCCCTCCCTCTTTCTCTCCCTCCCTCCCCGCGCGGGGCAGGGGTGGGGAGGAGGCGGTACCTTGTACGAGGATCCCGCAGAGGCTGTAGAAGCGCAGGAGCGCTCCGGGCTTCAGCCGCATCCTGGGGGCTCCCCTCGGGCTGGGTGGGCGCCAGGCACGCAGATCCGCAGCCTCTCGCCGCTCCGCTCTCCGGGCGCTTCCTTCCCCCCGCAGGAGCCGCCGCCGCCGCCGCCTCCTCCGCCGCAGTGTCTCCCTCGCTGTATCCAGTGGGGTGAGGAGGAGGAGGAGGAGGAGGAGGACGACCAGGGTCGCGGGGGTGGATTGGGGAGGGAGGAGGACGAGGAGGGGGGGGAAAGCAGCTCTCCCCGCTGGCTCCGGAGCTGCGAGGCAGGTTCAGGTTCCCCCCGCCGAGCGGTGCCGGGTGCTGCCGCTGGCTCCCCTCGCCGCTGCCGGCTCGCCCGTGTGCCCGTCCCGTCGCGGTGCGGGGAGCTGCGATGGCGCGGGGAAGCTGCTCCGCTCCGCGCCGCTTCCCGGCTGGAGACACAAGGGCAATCACCGCTTGCGAGGCTCCCGTGCCTTAGCCCCGCCCCTTTATGCCTTGAGGCCCGCCCCTCGCCCCGCCCCCGGCGCCACACCCAGGCCCTCCCTGTGCCGCGGCCACACCCCTGACACCGCCTTGGCCACGCCCCCACGGCACGACCCACCACTCAGGTGGATGCGTGACGGACACCTGAGGCGGCCCAATAGGAGGTGCCCGGGCGCGGCTGGACAGCCAATGGGACGGTGACGGAGGAGGCTCAAGGCGCCAGGTTACAAAACAAACGGGCGCTCCGCAGCGCCTTCATCCGCGAGCTGGCGGCCGGCCCCTGAGTGACAGCACTGCGGACCAATCGCGAGGAGACATAGCGGCTCTCCAGCCAATAGGCGGTGAGTGACGAGCGGGGGGTGTGGCCGGGCGGCGGGGCGCTGTCCAGGCTCGGTACTGAAGTGGCGGCCGGCGGCACGGGTCTGGCCCGCAGCGGCAGCGGTGCCTTCGGGGAGGAGGCAGCAGGCCCAGGGAGAGCGGCGCTCCCCGCTGCCGCACCGGGGCTGCGGGGCGATCCCCCCGCCCGGGGGAGGAGGGAGCGGCAGTGGCCCTCAGCGTTAACACCGTAGCGTTGCTGGAGAGCCCCGGCCGCGGCGGAGCGCTGAGCCGCCTCCCTGCGCGGCGAGGCCAAGCCGGGCGGGGCCCGCCGCGGACAGCGTGGCGGGAGGGAGAGGAGAGCGGGCGAGCGATCTCCATCCTGGCGGCACGGGAGGGAGCTGGTCCCGGAGCCCGCATGCAGGCGAGACCGTGGATCTGGGGCGTCAGCGCGAATGCGGCGTCCCGGCGGCGGCCTCGGGTTATGGGGTTGCTCGGGCTGCCACCGGCTGCGGGCCGCCACCGGCTTCTCCGCAACGCCGGCAGGGAAAAACGGGGCCGGCGGCACAGGCTGCGGGAAGGACCCAGCCGGTTTGCTCCCTGCCTGGCACGGGAGGCGCAGAGCTCCTTCTCATCTCTCTGCTTCTCTTCGCATCTCCCTGAAAGCAGCAAAAAGCTTGGCTGAGTCGCCTGTATCAGCTGAATTAGCCTTCAGTAGCAAGACCATCAGTGAGGTACCCAGACTGGCAGTAAAGAACTTTTCATGGTGTTACCTGACCTCGCAATGGCTTGGAGAAAGTTGTTTTACGTGAAGGCTTTCTTTGTGAAAGTTTGTAGCTTTCAGCTAGTAGTCCTGGGTTGCCTGTGGTCTGAAAGATAAGGTAGGCAATCCAAGATGGCAGGCTACTTCTGCATATTTGCCTTTGTGGTGTTTAGCATCCACCTTTTGCCAAAGTCTCGTAGTGAAACCCGAATGCCTTATTTTTAAGTTGCTGGGTCTGCCTGTAAACAACTATAGAGCAAATTGTGTTGCCTTAGAGAAAGCAGGATTCCCCTGTGCCCAAATGCTTGTAATTATCAGGTGTTTCTCCACTTCTGGTTCCATGCTTTTTCTGTTGAGATTTGCTCTCCAACAGGATGCAGTATGTTTTGCACAGTATCTCTCTCAATTCCCATATTGATGTCCCATTCTTTAACACCAAACAGCTTTACTGAGATAAACAAGATGAAATATTCTTACCTATAGCAGGGGTTAGCTCTTTAAAAGCTCATTTCTCTGGAGGGTGAATGGTCTCAGATCATTAAAGATGTGCTAACAGTTGCCAGCTTCACCTTAAAGGTCTTGCACTGGAGTGGGATCTGGGAAGTTACTTATTCTGCAGTCATATCTTCCACTTTGTTCGTTAGCAAATGATGATTATGCCTAGCAACAGCTGAGACTGCATCAGGAATTTACACTGAGTTTCCCCTATCTCCAAGAGATGTCTACACATGGTACAGAATCAAATCACAGAGCTGCATTTTAAAGTGCTGTCGTTTGTATGAGTTTGTCGCCAATGAACATGGCACACATCTTCAGGTCTTTAGTATGTTACTTGACCACTACCAAAGAGGTTGCACTGGAATGTCCCCTGGGAGAGGGAAGTCTGGGAAGTCTGTCTGGTGGATGAGTAGATACTGGCGTGATTTGTTTTTTATTGCTATGGAAAAATACAGAGTAGCAAAGGTTCTACCACTGTTGTTAGGGTTCAGTGCATGTAAATCAGTAATGAACAGGGAATGAGTCTCAAAATGTTTTAGAAGCCTTACAAAAAGGAACAATGGATCATTTCTAAAGCAGCACTAAAAATGTCAACAGATGCTCAAAACTTGCATTTTTTTGGGCTGGGGGAGGAAATTAAAAGAGTAATTCTGACAGAATAACTAATTTAAACCCTTCACTAAAGCAGAACTGTAATCCACCCTGAAGTCTTTTGCATTAATTGTAATAACTGACAGCTCTGTACTTTTGACAAAACATACTTTTGATTGTAGTCTTGTTCCGGGAAGCATTATAGGAGAAATACAAACGTCTTCCCATCTTAGCAATTAGAAACTGTGAAAAGAGGTTCCCCAGCAGATGTAGGAATGAAGCACCTATCTGGACATCAAAGGGGTTCAAGTCTTTGCCACATTGGTATGTTGGGAAAAGCTGATGTTTCAGAGACACCAGGTAATGTTTTCTTCCCAGAACACAGTAATATCACACCCTATGTCAGAAGCATAACCAGAAATGCCAGTTCCCACCACTCTCTTCTGGCTCAGGTGGTTCTGAAATGAGATAGCAACAGGTTGGTAGAAGACTGGTTCATGGAGGTGGGGTTAGCATTACTACTCTTCAGATGCTATAAATCTTTCTTAAATACTAGAAAAATAAACCTGAGATTCAAACCCTGCCAATAAACAACTGCAGTGGAGTATCAAGAGGTCTTTATGCTGTATATGCTGAAGTGACTTTTCTGTCTGTTTTTCAAAAAGAAAAAAACATCCCTGCCAGAAGCCCCTGACTTATTTGGCCAACTGTATCTCTGAAAAACTGATTATTAATATCATTAGAACTGCCAGACATGATGTCATATTTCTCCTCATTAATGCAGCTATGTTAATTTGACATCTTATGTAAATGTAATATGATGCCTTGTGACACTCAGTGGCCGCTCACATCTAAAACCAATACAAATGGAACAGAACTGAGTAATTGATCTGTGGAGCTGAAGCTCACACACAGAATGGCCAGAAGCTTCATTACTTCCAGAGCAAATGGGCAACAGGGACCCTTCAGGAAATACACTTCAGAACAGAGGAAAAAGCAAAACCCTAAAATATCAACAGGAGGTAATGCTGAAAACCAGATGCAGTAGGTAAACGTTTTATCAGAACCAGAAAAAAGTTCCTCTGCATAACCTAGATACCCGTCGAGGCGATGCTTACAATTAATCCTAATGCTAAACAGAGCAAAAGAATCTAATCTCCAAGAATGACTCTGAAAGAGTCTGCAAGTTTTTCCTCTCTGAACTGGTAAACAGCAAATTGTCCAGCTTCCCCTATGCTTTAAGTATAGACCTTATATTACATTGTCCTGCCTCACAATGTTTTCTATGCTTCTGTTAACTCAAGAGCTAACAAACCCTTCATGTAGCAAAGGAGCTAGCTTTCTTAATTGTTTCCTCAGTTATTTCCTTTTCATGCTTTTCTAGTGGCATAGATTTTTGGGCTTCTCTCTCAAAAACTCTACTCCACCTCCTCTAGAAGGAGCCATCTGCATTGTATTGGGTCAGTCTACCTCTAGACTTTGTCTTGAAAGACAAACAAAATCTGAAGGGATAATCATGTTTTAATTATGCTCATTGATAGCACCAGTGATCAGTGATCAGGGTGTTGGAATGATATCTGAGGAAGGCTTATTGACCTGACAAAACATTGTGGTTCTGTTGAATTCACCAAAGAGGGGAAGATGTAGAAGGAATTTAAGGAGATACAAACTCCCAGTATTACAAGCTGTGAAACATAGCTCTAGAAACACTTGTGTTCTATAATGCACATTTTTAAGTAGGTTGTATAATCTAGAGGGTGGTGAAGAAGTAGTCAAAATATTATTACAGAGTTACAACAACAAAAAAAAAAGCCCTATGGGAAATAAGGTATGGAGAAGGCAAGCTGGTAGTGACAGATGTTAGAGACAGATTCTATCCCAAGTTGCAATACCACTAAACACTCGCGATCATATCTAAAATAGTAATTTGGAAAGTGAGACTTATTAACATGGGTCAATACAAAAATCTCGTGACAAAAGCCCCCATGCAGCTGCCACCTAATACTGAAGAAATACCTGGTTGGATGACAGCCATCTTTGCAGTAACAAGGCCTTAATTCTTACATTCACCCCCTCCTTCCTGATAGAGGCAGCATGAGTTCCCATGGGTGGAGGGTCCCTCTCCAGAAGGCAGCACATGCCATCACAGGCAGTGCATTTCCCTGCCAGTGCACTGTTACAGGCCTTCGTGGACTTGAACTCTATGTCTATGCATTTTCCATTAGTCCTTTGCCACACTTCAACAGCTGGAACAGAAGAGTTGGGGTTTTGTTTGGTTTGGGTGAGAAATTTCATGTGGTGGAGGTGAGTTGCTGTTGTTTTAAATGATGTAGGTTTGCTTGAAGCTGATTCGTAAAAAAAAAAGAAAAATTGGATAACATTTACTTACCAGATGCCAGCAAAAATGCACTGGTTTGAACAAATACTGTAACTACTAATTTAGTTAAATCTATCCAACTGTGAAAATATATTGGCGTGAATAAAAATATATAGACATGAAACGCATTGCACTTTTTTTTGTTTGAAAAAAATTGGCTTCAGTAAAGAGCAATTGAAGTTTGAAAATATGCTCCTAAGAAGAAATGTGTTCATTTCCATAAAGCATATTGGTGTGTAAATATACAGTATGTATCGGTTCCAGAGCAATATTATGAATTCAGTGAAATTCTGTTCTGTGCTAGTTAGTAAGATGAACCAAGTAAAAGGAATTGGATGCTGCAATTACTACATATAAAATATGTGTGGGAATGAAGTCCCATTTATAAAGCAATTATAACTCTGAGATATTTCACTGGCTTTTGGAGGAGAAAAAAGTGTATAAAACAACACTGTCAGTGTAATGCCAA